TCTTAGTGTTTTACACGATAGCGCCTACGACAACGACAACACAGGGAGGTTAATTCAACAGTAGAGGAACCACATCACTCCCTATTGGCTCATCAGAGATTCCAAGTTCAACTGACACAGACCCAGATATGTCCTCTGATGGTTTAGTTCTTATTGATATACCCCTGCTCCTAACACCATTGCAAATGACTTTGATCTCCCTATCGCACTCAGAAAAGGAAAAAGGAAGTGTGCTGCTCATTGCATCTCACACTATCTTTCCTACAATGGATTATCTCCTTCCTACCGAGCCTTCCTTTCATCCCTTGACTCTGTGTCTATACCCAAGAGTGTTAGTAAGGCTCTCTCCAAACCTGAGTGGAAGACAACAATGCAGGAGGGTACACTCAAACTTATGGCATAGATTACTTGGAAACTTTTGCACCTGTGGAAAAGATGAGCTCAGTCCGGATTCTTCTATCACTAGCAGCTACATAGTCTTGGCCACTCTTCCAACTTGATGTGAAGAATTTTCTCAATGGGGACTTGCAAGAGGAGGTGTATATGGATCTTCCAGTTGGCTTCTACAATGATGTAAAAAAAGAAAAGGTATGCAAGTTGAAGAAATCTCTATATGGTTTGAAACAATCACCCAAAGCTTGGTTTGACAGGTTTAGAAGTGCAGTGGTTGTATTTGGCTATACTCAAACTCAATCTAATCACACTCTTTTTGTGAAAAGGAGGGGCTCACTGGTGTCAGTTTTGATAGTGTATGTAGATGACATTGTAGTCACAAGAAATGATCTAAGCTAGATTGATACCTTAAAGAAGAACCTACACAAAGAGTTTGAGATTAAGGATCTTGGGGAGCTAAAGTACTTTTTGGGCATTGAGGTGGCAAGGTCCAAGCATGGGATCTTTATCTCACAAAGGAAGTATGTTCTAGATCTACTACAGGAGACAGGAAAACTTGGGGCAAGGGTAGTTGATACACCTATTGATCAGAACTACAGAATAAATGCTTTAGAGGGTGAACCAGTGAAGGATGTTGGAAGGTATCAGAGGTTAATGAGATGGTTGCTATACTTATGTATGACACGACTAGACATCTCTTATGCAGTGAATGTGGTGAGTCAATACATGCATGCCTCACGAGTTCAGCATTGGAAGGCTATTGACAGGATACTTTTTTATTTGAAGGGGCACCCAATTAGAGGCATATTGTTTGCTGACCATGGACAGTTGAAGTTAGAAACTTACACAGATGTTGATTGGGTAGGTTGTCTAGATGACAGGAGATCTACATCAAGGGTTTGCACTCTTGTTGGAGGTAATCTAGTTTCATGGAAGAGTAAGAAACAGACAATTGTGGCAAGGTCAAGTGCAGAAGCTGAATACAAAGCTATGGCACATGGTGTTTCAGAGCTCCTTTGGATCCATTCCTTGTTAGGGGAGATTGGAGTTGAGGCCGAAGAACCTATGATACTATATTGTGACAATCAAGCAGCAATTAACATTGCCCACAACCCAGTTCGGCATGATACGATGAAGCATATAGAAGTGGATAGACACTTTATAAGGGAAAGGGTTACATCCGGAGAAGTTTGCTTACCATATGTTGCATCTGCCTTGCAGCTTGCTAATGTTCTCACAAAAGGTGTTGCAAGAAACAAGCTGGAGCATGATCTACGCAAGTTGGGAATGTGTGACATTTATTCCCAACTTGAGGGGGAGTGTTGAGTTTTGGGCTAATATTACTTGTTTTTATTTACATAACATAGTTAGGGAGTTATTGGGCCTTAGGCCCATTAGTTTATTTTTAAGTTAAGAATGCTTATTTAGTTCTTACAAGTAGCCGACTTACTAAGGGCATACTTGTCTTTGTACCCTCTTTTATTTGTGAGCATATAATCTAATGAAAGAGGCAGCTAGAATTAATTTTGGCTTCTCCCATTCTCTTCCATCTCTCTTCTCTTTCTTTCTCAGCTAAAACCTTTGTTTCTCTTTCTTTCTCAGCTAAAACTTTTGTTTCTCTTTCTTTTCTTCTTTCTTTTACAGTTTTTATATCAAAACAGGTCATCCAAACTTTTCTACTAGATGAAGGACCTCATTTCCTTCCTTTCCTTTTTCTTTTCTTTCTTCTCTTTTTTTTTTCTTCTCTTTCTTTCTTTTTCTTTCTCTTCCCTTTCTCTTCCCTTTCTTTCCCTTTCCTTTCCTTTCCTTTCTTTTTCTCTTTCTTTTTTTTTTGTCTTTTTGTGTGAGGCATACACCTCTAGCACGCCTCATGAAAAAGGCATATGAGGTGTACACTTCTTGCACCTAAGGCATACGCCTTAGGGTGTTTTGGGGGCACCTCGCCTAGAGGCATGACTCCAGGCATACACCTTTTAAAACATTACATGCCTCCACATGTTTTCTTAGCGCTTACCATAAATAGGCATATGCCTCCAACGCCTTTTAAAACACTTGTTTGAGTTTAAAAGAATTACAATGATGTAAATCATAAATATGGCAACTGTTTTGAGGTTCAGATTTGCTCCACTAATATTTTACTTATCAAAAAAAACTTGCTCCACTAATAGAAAGGAACTCGTGCCCCCCATTTGGACTGCAAACCAATTTACCACATGGAAGACTCCTTGATCCTTAGACTTCTTCACTAACTATAAGGCCATTCTTAATGCTAAAATCTAGAAAGGAATTTTATTTTTCTTCTTTTTTCATAGATCCAATTAATGACTCAGATAAGACAACAATGTACAAAAAACGCCAAAATAAGGGATTCTTTCCCTTTATAGTTATAAGTTCTTACTTAAAAGGGCACAAGTGGTCAGTTCTAGTTTGCATGGAACTTAGAGCCTGTTCGTTTGCTCTGAAGTCTGCCATCTGAAAGTGTAATAATTCCATTAAGAGGTATATTGGTATTGGTGAACTTTTCTTTCCTCTGAACTCTGAATGCAGAGAATGTTGTTCTGAATTCTGAAAACTATCAAATATCCATTTTGACCCCATATATGAGAGTTTTTGTTTGCCTTTTTGGGGGTATCATTGAAAAACAAAAAATTGTATGATTGCACTTTAAGAGTTAAGAGATAAGAGGAAACGAACAACCAATTTTCTCTTAAAGTTAAAAGATTCCTCTTAAGAGATAAGAGTTAAGAGGAAACGAAAAGGCGCTTAATCTTTTTCTTTCCTTCTGTTGAATGAGGTTTAATGCAAAAAGGAAACATAAGAAAATGAAAAAGAAATAAAGGAAAAGAAAATTAACCTAATATTAAATAGAAAATACAAAATTTTAATCCATAAAATACAGATATAGAATCTCAGAAACCTCTGAACTTTATTCATTTGCAAAAGAGATGAGAAACTAGATTCCACATGTAGAATTTTTTCTTCACGGAATAATACCAAAAAAAAAGTTTCCAAAGTAGAAGAAATTCTGAAGTTACCTTTGTTGGGACAGAACCACATCCAATGGATACCAAACAGTCAATTCTTGTATCAGGCCATAGAAGTTGTGCTTCTCTAATGGCGAAAATAGTGGGATTATTTGCTACAATTGCACCATCTTGCCAGCGGTTTACATCTGAAAATAAAAAAGGTTTAGAATAAGAAAGAACTAATCTTGCACTATGATAGGCCCTCAATTAACCTTACGTATGCCAGGAAGAGGAAAGGTCAACAATCGGCTAAGGGGGGAAAATAATTGAACAATTAATCACATGGGGGCAATTATAGCTGCAGGGAATAAGGAGAGTCTTGAGGCATTTATAGCTATGTCAGTTAGGAATAAGAGTGTTGGGCATTTATAATTTGGCCAGCTGGGCATTTATTGAGGGAGTCAGTTATGCTGTGAGAAGAGTATAAGAAGGGGCTTTGGGGGATGGGGGAGGGAGGCTTTTGTGGAGTGAAGAATACTGTGAGTGATTGGGAGAGCCAGTGGTCTCTCGAAGAACCGACCAACTGTTAATGTTCTTCTTTTCATCTGAATGAATACCAGTTTCTTTGTTGATGTTCGAGTTGTGTGAATTCTGCTGTGAATCTGAAAATTGTGTGTAAAGTTTCTGGGACATAACAGTGGTATTAGAGCTCGTCTTTCCTCGGCCATGGTGACAGGTAAGGAAGTGGCATCGCAGGTGGAGGGTTTCGAAGAACGTTTGACTTCTCTGCATTCTGAATTTCGTGGGGAGATGGATAGCTTACGCAATGAGATTCTGCGTCTCGATCCAGAAAAGGTAGCAGCTGGACTTTCGAAGATCTCGTCTCTGGAAGGAGGCATTCAAGAGCTGGTAAGACATTTTGATCTATTGCTTCAGCAACAGACCTTTTCAGCTCCTTTGTCTACAACTAACATTGCTCCTCCTTTAGTCGCATCAAGTCATGCGGCTGACAAAGGGAAGAGTGCAGCTTTTTTGACGTCTTCTTCAATGTCGGTGTCAGATCATACTTCTGATTCACTTCCTCGGAAGTTGGAGTTACCTATTTTTTATGGGGAAAATCCAGACGGCTGGCTTTTTCGTGCGGAGCGCTATTTTGAGATTAATGGATTTTTTCCGGCAGGGCGTCTGCGAGCTGCAGTTGTCTGTTTAGAGGGCAATGCATTGGCGTGGTATTACCAGGAAGTTGGCCGGCGACCTTTTCGTGGTTGGACAGAATTAAAAGAGCTTCTCCTTGAACGTTTCCGATCGACTCAGGAGGGTAATTTACAGGAGCAACTCTTCTCGTTACATCAGTCTTCTACTGTTAAGGGATATCGTCGCCAATTCGAGGTGCTCTCCGCTCCCTTACATGACCTTCTGGAATCAATCCTTGAAGCAGCATTTGTTAATGGGTTGCACAACCCTTTCCTGAACGGTGCCATGAAGTGGGGTGACTGGTATAGAACTAAAGACTTGGTACTTAAGGGCTCTAATTGGATTGTCAATGAAATGAAGAAATCTGGTCTTCGAGGCCGTGGTGGAGCTGCTTTTCCATCTGGCCTGAAGTGGTCTTTCATGCCAAAAGTATCTGATGGCTGTCCTTCTTATCTTGTTGTCAATGCTGATGAGAGTGAGCCAGGAACATGTAAGGACAGAGAAATTATGCGCCATGATCCACATAAACTACTAGAGGGTTGCCTGATTGCAGGGGTTGGTATGCGGGCCACTGCTGCTTATATCCACATAAGGGGAGAGTATGTAAATGAGCAGAAAAACCTTGAGAAGGCAAGGAGGGAAGCTTATCAAGCTGGACTTTTGGGAAAAAATGCATGTGGATCCAGATACGATTTTGATGTTCATATCCACTATGGAGCTGATGCTTACATTTGTGGAGAAGAGACGGCATTGTTGGAAAGCCTTGAAGGAAAACAAGGAAAACCAAGGTTGAAGCCTCCTTTTCCAGCTAATGCAGGGCTATATGGATGTCCAACAACTGTTACAAATGTTGAAACTGTGGCTGTTTTCCCCACCATTTTAAGGCGTGGTCCTGAATGGTTTGCTAGTTTTGGCAGGAAGAACAATTCTGGGACAAAGCTATTCTGTTTCTCAGGCCACGTGAATAAGCCTTGTACAGTTGAAGGGGAGATGAGTATTCCCTTGAAGGAGCTGATAGAGAGGCACTGTGGAGGAGTTAGAGGTGGATGGGATAATTTGCTTACAGTGATACTAGGGGGTTCTTCTGTTCCACTGATTCCAAAGCACATATGTGATGATGTGTTGATGGATTATGATGTTATGGTCCCGCGCGTAGGATCCCATCACGGGTCGGCCCACGGTGCGAAAGCCCTGCTTTTCCTTGCACATTCCCTTGCGTGCAGACCCTATTGCGGCAATCGCGTGGGTGATTTGTCCAAGAGATCACCCGAACTCTCCTAATGGGTGATTTGTCCAAGAGATCACC